TTAAAAGCTACGATTTCACAATAGATTTTGAATAAGTATTTTAAAGAAGGTTGCCACATAGTTCATGATGTAATTATATTGTACAATACAATGAATTTACACCACCAACAGTGCATGACGAAATTCAATTCAACAAATTGGTCCCGCAAATCCCAGAATTTGCAAGATTTATAGTAAAAATCGATGTGGTTCTGTTCGAAAATTAATGAATAATAGATTCCTTTGTTTAATTTCTCCCCAAATGATAAATAAATTATGGCTCCGGGTAAATTAACTCGCGAACCAAAACGTAAAACCGCGGGAATTTCTACAGTGTATATTAAGGCAATTTAAATTTTGACACAAAGATAATTTCCCTGCGAGAACGTCTGCACTAAGCGGATCAAAATATGGGGAAACGACAGTAAACAAATACAGTGTTTCAAAGTGAAACTTCATTCTGACGTTAAGTGACAAGATCGATTTAGCGTATCGTAGTAACACTTTCTTCAGCTAAGCTCGTAAGTTATTTCATCGTCGTATGAACACTAAAAATAGCTATTCAATTTTGCCACAACCAGACAAACAAACACGTGGGATCAAGCTCTTCAATTTCAGTAAAAAAAAACAACACTTTCCAAACAACAACAAGGGGAAAAGAAGGACTAAAGTTATTGCTACAAACCACTCAAGTAATTGGTCCATTTCCACAACGTTCCTTCCATTATGGACATTTCTTGCTCCTCTGTTTTCCAATGTTGTGATGTAACCTTGTGCTATAGTCGAACTTTCGGATGAAGGTTAACGCAGTACTTGATCTAACTCTCAGATTCTGTTATCTACCCTGAAGTTCCCACTGTGAACATTGACGAAACAATATTCTTTGTCCGCCATTACAGAATTTAGATTGAAATCTGTTTTACGAGACTTTGCAGTCGCGCCTTCATCTTCACGGCCATCACTACCAGAACGTTCAACACGATGGTGAATGGACAGGCCATCGCGAGAATGAATATATTGAAGACGATAACGCTGTACGTTTATGCGGAAAAGTGCTCTGGTACTCCACCAATGAAATGGTGCAAGTCACATTTTAAGGGGCTTGTATTCCGGCTTGAGTTCATGGCAGACGGTTTCTTCGGTTTTATCGCCAATCTTCCCTTTTTTGCGAGAGGTAAACTCAGTCTGTGTGCTGTGCAGTCTGTTATCTCTTTTCAATAATGTAATGTGAACTAAGTTTGGTTTTCACATGTATTCAAATGGCTATATGTGCGTTGTTCGTACTTTTGGTGGGCTTGTGTCTTTTCCTGTTCATTATTTTGAAACACCTTTAATTATGGACCTTTATGTTCTCTTAAAACATTAATAAAAGAGCAACTTTTATGCAACCTTTCCTGGATGGTTAATTTACAGAAAGTGTGTAGGTGTATCTGAATAAAATAATTCCGGACTGAAACACCACTCGTCTTACCTGACTTAGCAGATTAAGTCGTGAGAAACAAGATATTTTAAATAATTTTGTACAGTGGTTTCCCTCGTCAAGTGAAATCCCACGTTTTTTGACAAAAAATAATCGCTGATGATTTTAAGTTGGATATCGCGTCGTAAATTGGGCAAATCTGTTACAAGAAACAAGGTGAAACGGAACAATAAATGCAATAATCTGTAGTGAATGTACCGTTAAATCAAATTAAAATTTTGCTAGCCTGCCATTTTGCAACTGACGACCAGCAAAACGCTTCGAGACGTCGCTTTTAGACTAAAACCTAAAAATTCCCATCAAGACGCAATTTTAATTTCATTTGTTTATATCTCACGATAAGAGGAAAATGTTTTTAAAAACTCTACTACTTATCCATTGTTTCATAATTTCTCTATATGCGTGAGAGTTTTTTTAAAAGGGGAGATTTTTTAACATGATGTTCTGCCGACTCAATGAATTCCTGCAGCGGTTACCATTTATTGATTTGTAATTAGAGTTTCATCTCTGATTCATTGTTTTATCCCTTCAACGTTTATTTTGATGACTTTTTTTCTTGCTTAAAATGATAAGAACACTACGGAAGTATGTTACAAGAGTTATATGTTTGGTTTTTACAAACAGGCGCTGTTTGTGAGAAGTAAGGTTTATGATATTAATAACGTGATATATTTCATGTCCTTTGTATAGGTGATCATAAGGTTTCGAGTTCAATTGGGAATTAATTTGCACGAGTGAGTTTTTAAAAACACTGAAATTGCACTCGCCGCTTTTTAAAAAAAACTCACAAGTGCTAATTAATTCCAAATTGAACGAGAAAACCGAATGATTACTTATTAATAATATAAACATGAAAAAAACAAAAAAAAAAATCGCGTGGAGGAAATACAGAAGATCTTTCTTGAAGCCACTTTTTCTCGTTCGAGAACTTTTTTCAAAGCTTCCGCACTAAGTTTTCGTCATCATTTTACGTGATATCATTGGCTTAGAAAATTCCCTATTGTCTTTCAGCCAATCATAATCTAGAATTACGATATGTAATTTGCACTGGTGTTACACTTTTTGCACTGGTGTTACACCTGAACTGCACTGCTCTCAGCCAATCAGAATCGAGTAATTCATGTATATTACTATGGTCGAAAAGGATTTGGCGATGAATGAAACTTTGCATGCTAAAAGTAGTGGAAGAAAAGCTAAATGTTGTTAAAAAATAAAACAGTTTTAATATGTGTTCTTGATAAATAAGTCCGTGAATTTTTTTAGATGTTATATTCCCTCAACACAATTTGTTGCTTTTATGGTTTACGGAGTTTAAGAGGATCGAAACTTCTCACGGTTTTGAGGCTTGTATCGGGCAACTTTACAAAGTCAACAGCAGGCCAATTTGATTTAGGAAAGAAAAAATAAAAGTAAAACATTTGAGTTACAAAAATTATGTTGAGATTTTGAAAAAGAAATGACGCTAAGATTTTTGGCACAAGACAGCATTCTATGTTTCATACAATCGAATTTTAATAGAACTTAAGTTCAATTTCCCGTTTTGGCTTAACATAATGTATGGGCTAGTAAAATTTTGAAATGCGTTGGCCTTATTAAACATGAATTAAAACTGGGAAAGTGGAATAATAATTTAGCCAATGTCGTACAATATGAATAATTTTTCGCTATACAATTATGACAAATTAAATTCAACACTCAAACTATTTGGAATGGAATCGCAAGTTTAATAAATTTATTCATAAAATCTACAAAAATGATTACTAACGGCATCACCACGAAAGCACTTATTGTCTAAAATTTAGGATTCGAAAAAAAAATTGCCAAGCCGGGTAACGAAACTGTGAAAACGAGTCTGAAAGAAGCACCCGACGAAAGCAATTAAAAAGACTCTTAACTGCTAAAAGACTTTTTTTAACTGCTTCCGTCAAGTGCTTGTGGCGACCAGAATGGCGAATTACTATTTCAAGTAAGAATTTGTCCAAATCTCCAGATGAATGCATGTTTACGTTTAAACAATTTGGCAACATTCGCTCGCTACATTTATGCGTAGGAAGACACTATTTCGTCCAAATCCGGCGCCAGATCCCGGAGGGTGGGTACGGCTACACGTAGGCTAGAATTTATCAAATCCAGCACAAGCTGATGTTTACAATATTACGACACCAAAATTGTGACGAACAAGTAGCACATGCTGGTCGAGCAATGGGCGTTTTATATACTAGAGATGCATAACCCGTTAGGGCGAAATCGGGAAAATTATTTTTTTCTTAAATGCGATTTATTACGCGTCGCAGTATAAAAAGTACAAAAGGCGGATTATGCACCATCTGCTTCAGTGTATCTTCAACGACGAACTAACGACTTTTCTGTTTGTATAAAAAAAAGATGCAGGACGGATGGTCCACCGAAACAAACTGTCAGCTTAAGTGCGTGTTGAACGACGAACTTAGAGCATAGTGTAGGTGACAAACCGTCCCGCTTTCGGATTATGCGTCTCTGGAATAAAAAGGGGCCAGTAACGATTTCTTGAGGAGATTTTTCGGGCAAAATATGCCAGAAAAACTAACCTGGCTTTAAACCGTTCACTATGTCATTGGAAGATAAAATTATTGAAAACACTCTTTAACTCTACAAGACTCTTGCACAAATGCATCTGTCGCTTATCTCAAAGCTGGCAATCAAAATTTAAAACGCTAGTTTCACTTAACAATGGCCAGCTAGGTGTGGTGAACTTTATATTACATTGTAACTTCAGCTCGGCAGTGTGTCATGATTTTGGCCTCATTGCATACCTGTAAAGTGAAAAGATGCCAGGTAAGAGGAAAAAACTAGTACAGAGGACCGTTGGGGAATTTTCGTCTCATTAGCTTACAACTGTTTCGACAAAAATTGTTTCACAAAAGCGTAAAAGCTTACGCGACAATGTCTCGAGATCAACCTCGTTCCCAGGGTCTCTCATCTTTTCATCTATCATACTGAAACATCTTGAGCTTCAATCAAGCAACCAAAAGCCACCATTACCCATAATACCTTTCGACATCGTTCTTGTAGGACAACCTTTCTCAAAACAGCTGTAAACGCTTCAGGGCCACGCTCGATTAAATGTTCCAAGAAATTTGAGCGATATATATGAAATACTTTTGGTGTGATGCGGGTTGTAAAACTCAAACTTCTACAGCGAATGTATGGGCTTATTAGGGCTTTTGTCGCCCAGAAATTTTGCAGCTTTAATGTATCTTTCAATAGTACACCCAAAGAGCTAAAAATTCAACAAATTACTAAGTTTCACAAGTTATTTAAATGTTTGGCGTTAATTGGCAATCAGCATGACGCCTCCTCGACGCACAGTCGTGTGTAAGGAGGCAAAATGTGAACGATGTCGGCAAGAATTTAGAAAAAAATAATTACAGTAAATCAACTAACGTGACATACATTTTCACTCTGTAGAGTTCTCCAGGAAAGTTCTTCTGAACTTCATCCTTGATCACAGTGAGTGATGACTTCGCAAATAATTCTCTAAGCTTCTCGTCTGACCTGAAATAAATGTTTAAAAAATCACTCTGGCCATATACCCTCAGACAATCTACAGTTGTAGTAAACCAATCAAAGCTCTTAGCAGATACATGTAGCTGATGGCAAGGCACAGGAAAACATGTGTGAAACAGTTATTGGTTTTGGTTTTACGTCTAAATAGACGAGAAAGCGCCGCAAGTATTTTTACACTTATCACTAGGCGTGGTAATGCACAACCAAAGCACATGTGGATTATTTTTCAACAGTCAAGTAGAAACTGCTTTAACCTAACAGCATGCTGACGGGTATCTTGCAACAGTCAAGTAGAAACTGCGTTAACCTAACAGCATGCTGACGGGTATCTTGCAACAGTCAAGTAGAAACTGCTTTAACCTAACAGCATGCTGATGAGTATCTTGCAATGGCCCAGCAAGTTGCCACACAACAGAAACCTGGATAAACACAGGTGGTATGGGACACTTTGTCTGAATGCAAACCCAGTATTTCTAAAGACAATCTCATACACATTGCCT